GGGGTGAACACTACTTAACCCCTTCATTACTGACCTGGATGATGGGACAGAGTGCACCCTTAGCAGGATCACAGCCAACAGAGTAGCGAGTACATGGCTGTGCTGCCATCAGAGGTGCAACCGATGATAAATGAACCCTTCAAGAAAAGGTGGTTCAGGAAACAATGTAGGAAAATCACCAGTGTTATCATAAAGGAAACTGGACTTATTTCAATACAAAGGGGACTGGAAGAGGGACTTTGCTTTAGATAAACTGCTCTATGGGTCAACTGTTTGTCCAAATGGTCTCCCTTAAGAAAATCCATAGAGATTATTATCTCCCTGATCCAGCCAGACTAGCATGGAGAAAGTATTTATGTGGCTCAGCACAGTACAAAAGCTGAGCAAATGCCAAATGAGCTCTGAAAAGAGCAATGAGTTCAAGCTGGGTTCAACCCATGCACTCCTTTCCAGTAATTTAAGAAGCACAGTGATAGCTAGCATATAGATACCAGTAATCACATTTCTATGATGATTCAATATCCTCTGTAGACTGCAACTGCCATATTGTAACTCTATTATGATTTTAGTATACTGCTAAATTAAAATTCATGTAACAGCAGATATCTTCTATTAAACTTTCAATCTTTCCCCATTGGAACATCCAGAAGAACCTTACCAGGGAATATTGGCATTTGGCAAGACAGACCTTGACAGGGTGAAAGGAATTTCATGAAATTTTAGCAAAGTCCTGCATAGGAGGAAGAACAACCTCAGGCACCAATACACTCTATGGAACCACTTAATACCAAATTATGAGACAGAGTCACTCCCTCCTGAAATCCTGCAAGATTCCTTCCAGTGACACAGTGAACCCACCTCTCCCAGTGAAGGAAAATAATTACTGGCACAACCTTGGTTTTAGTTGCTGATAAATTAAGACATGAATTGTTTCATCTGTTCCACCTCATCCTTTCTGTCTCCTGATGATGCACAAATTTAGCTCCTTCTAAACTCTGCTCCTTCTAAACACCTTATTTATCCACGTAAAACATGGAGGTTTGATATGCAGATTCTCAGATACAGGCAATTGTAAACCCATTCTATGCATTTAACTACACTGGAAATGAGTAAATTCAGAAAAAATATTCCTCTGATTTAGCAGTCTTTAAAAGGGCTAATAACATTTTTAAAAAATTGCATTTGATACACCACTTAAGAACGTGGAACAATAAAACTCAATCAACTGATGCATGTCACTTAATCTTGTGCAATTTTTTTCCTTTTTTTCAATGCAAACAGAATAGGAAATGCATGAAACCTTTTAGAAAACTATCCTACAGAACTAAAAGTCACCTCTTACAAGTCAAAGACCCACAGGAAAATATAGTTTCAGTTACATAAGAAGTTTATTTATTTATTGATTACTAATCAATACTTTCAGGGACTGAAAAACTGCAATAAACTTAGAGCAGTGAAAATAAATGCCTTTAAAGTTCATTTCTAAGAACATAAAAGAAATCAAAGACTATGAATCTATTTTCTTGCAACAGGCACTGCTAATGCATGCTAATTAATATTTATAATTCACATTTGCACCTAAATACCATAGCAGTGTGCTATAAAGCAACTGCATATATTTATTGTGTTGAAAAAAGCCCACATTGCTTCTTCAGACTCAATCTTTATATGATTTAACAGAATTATTAACAAATATGTGACACTTATGTAAGAACGTTACATTTTTCCTCAAAGTATGAAGCAGCACTCTGTCATCTTATGTCATTATCAATTTACCAATGCTATCAAGAGCCCTCAGACAGTACCCAGATTCAGCAGAATATCTGTAATACTTTAGATATAGGCAAAGGAAACATTTGTATTAAAGGATTAAAGTTATTCCTTCTCTTCCCCTCCCCTTAAAATACAAATACAGTACAGCAGCATATATCATAGAGACCCTGAGAACACACCAATTTTTACTATCCTAACTTTACAACATAACTCAGTCCTGCAAACAGAGAGGACTGTTTCCAGTGGGGATCTGTGATGGTATACAGGAGACCTAGGAATCCTCAGAGATCATAAATTATATTCAGTTTAAAATCTTAATTTCTCCTGAAAACATTTCCCAGAAGTTCTCCTACTACGATAAAATTCTGCATATGCACAATCAAGATCTGTGGCAAGAAACCATTAAGGCTCTTGTTTAAGGCTCTTGTACTACCAAAAGGTTCTTTCCTTAACTGCACACAATGTATCTAGAAAACAGTGAAATCTGACCCACAGAAGCACACTGTTTCAAAATGTTATATTGCTCTCAGCGTCACACCACAAAATCAAATTGTTGTCCTACATTACTTCAGTTGTGGGGCTTGCCTCATTTTGGTTTTCAAGTTAACAGCAACTAGGAAACTATATTAAGTGTATTCTCCTATTTAAATGTTTGGATGTGGGCCTTTAACTTCTGAAAGCACATAGTCAGCTATGAAAGCCTTAAGAAGTTATCAATTCAAAGTTTATCACCACCGACCTTTTGGTTTTGGCAGACAGAGTATGTATTAAATTGTATCCTCAAGAATAAAACAGCATAAAGTCAACTGCATATACTTCACTTGCATCAGCTGTTTGCCATCTCAAACACCAACTACAAGCAGGGTAATTTTACACTTTTTTTTTTTTTTTTAAACTGGCACTTACACACAAACACCTACAAAATGTAAAATCTCATTATCTTATTTCACTCAAATTCTCCACCATAAGCTATTTCAAATAGTTGTATTTTCTCCACAACCATCACAGGCAATAGAGTCTCAAATACTTAATAGTTAGAAACATTCTGTTCCTTCAGGACACTGAAGTCACTCATATTATCCAAAATGAAAACTTATCTACTATACTCCCACATTTCTATTGACATTTTGACTGCTAAAGTACTTGGTTAAAATATTGTCAATTGGGTGTCTTGCCATATTTTTAAAAAAGTCAGAACCCGAAGTCAGTCCCCATGAGGAACCACCATAAAGAGAACCCATTCTTCCATGCTTTTGTATTGAATTCGGATCATCACAACAACTAAGTCACATTTATTAAGGTGCTAACAGTAAAAATCTACAGTTTAGGAAACGAGTGAGTCAGATAAACATACCTGGCCCCAACCAACAGGATAACATTTCTTCCCATGATGTACCCTAAGTCACAGCCTTACTCTACTCAGCACTTCTGCACTTCTACTCCAAGTCATGCCACAGAATGTCATGCTCATTGAAAAGCATAATTTAGTCATATTCTCGAGGAAGAGAATGGAGAAGATACACTGCAAAAATACACTGTGTGCACAATTTACTTGTGCGTATCACCTCCACCAAAACTTCAATTAAAAAATGCCACTTTCTTTTTTTCTTAAAAAGTAAGCAACTCTGTTGTCTTTTCATCCTCCTTGGTTTTTCTGCCCCTACATTTCCTTCAGTGTCTGTGCTCATTGTACCCATGCTCTTCACAACAGGTGTAATTCATTCACAGCTCTTCAGAAAGCCAACTACTACATGATATTGAGGAGCTGAGTAAATACTTTCCATCGGATTTACCATGAAAGTCTATTCTAGAAACCATTTCTGAAGGTGACTGACCAGGGAATCTGTCCAAAATTGAAGGAACTAGGGTAGAGGTAGTGAAACACAATGACAAAAAAAACTCAACAGTAATGAACAAACAGTACACTATTGGCATTTTGAAAGAGCTCGAGGTTAAACACCTCCGTAAGGAATGATAGTGGGTTAACTCTCATTCAGTGGTTTCTTGACGTGTCAGGACTAGAAATGGCAAGCAGAAAACAACTAAAAATAAAAATCTTCAACAAATAAAACTGTTTGTGTGAACAGAAGCTACAATTAAAAATATGGTTAGTGGACCCTTACAAAAACTAGAAGAATTGGCATGGCTTTTGCAAAAGGAAATCCTGCTTTTCAAAACTATTTAAGATCTTTGAAAGAGTCAATAAATACAGCGGTGAGGGTGCTGTAGTTGTCAAAATCAACTTTGGCTTTCCAAAATACTTCTCAAAGTCCCTTACCAAAAGGTTACAAGGAAGCTAAGCAGCCATAGCATGAGGAATGGTCCTATAAGCAGAAGAACATTAGCCAAGGTATAAATCTGGCTGGCTCACTCATATCTTATACACTATGTGGAGAAGAGGAAGGTAGAAATCATAAGAAAAATAACCCAAAAGGTAATTCCCCCCCGCTCTGGGGTTTGTAGGCCTGGGGTGTCTTCCTGCCAGCCTGATGTTGCTGACACAAGAACTTTACATGGGGGGACTGGAGAAATTCACACAAAAAAAGAAACCAAAAAACCCCTATGTCTACTGCGGCATACAAATACACACACCACATCCAGTTCGAGAAGTTATTTGAGCTACAAATCACTGGAGAAAAAAAAGGGCAGCAAAAAGCAACTGTCCTGCATCTGTTCTTTGGGCTTCAACTACTGCCTATGACTACTTTTTTCAACAGTGTACACTTAAAAATATTATGACTTGCATGGTACATATTTTTTTTATGGTAACTTATATACAGGAATCTTAAAAATAAGCTTCTGAACTCTGACACTTTAGCAAAATTACATACATGCCTTTCTACTTGTTTCACCAATTAACAAAAACAGAGGAAATCAGTGTAGGTGCTGGGAATCTTTTCCTTTGGCTGTTATGCACAGTGAAGGAACATCTGACATCCTGCCACTCACTCTAATAAAAGGACATATGTACAAAGATATAAAATCAGATTACGAGATATTTCCATAACACCAGAAATGACTGCCTGCTTTAGAAATATGCCCGAATTCACAACAAGTTGTATTAACCCCTCCATGCCCCGGTGCTTGAATGGATTTCAAAATTAGCTGTAAAGCTGTTAGATAAGGTTAGTTTCTCGTTTTCTTTTCACAAAGCACCAAGGACTGCCCAGCCCTACTAAAGTCTCTGCGTGGCACTGGGGTGACGCACCTTCCCCCTCCCACCTCACCTTTTGCTCTTCAGCTGTGTTCGTATAGAGAAAAGGCGTAGCACTCCCTGCCGAGCCTCTATATATTCCCTGCCACACTCCGTCATTCCTCTCCATAACAAAGTTACTTCATGTCATAATTTTGTTACACACGAGGTGCGCACATGCTCTCAGGACACGATGCCTTCAGGACAAGAGGCAATGCGCAGAAACTGATGCACAGGAAGTTCCACCTGAACATGAGAAAGAACTTCTTTGCTCTCCACTGGAACAGACTGCCCAGAGAAGCTGTGGAGTCTCCCTCAATGGGGATGTCCAAGGGCCATCTGGACACAATCCCGTGCCACGTGCTCTGGGATGACCCTGCTGGAGCGGGGAGGTGGGACCACATGCCCTCCGTGGTGCCCCCCAGCCCGGCCCATCTGTGACTGTGCGATGCCACACGCGCTGCTGGGCGGGCGGGCCCCCGCTGACACCGACCCGCCCGGTGCGGGTGTCCCCGGGGGCGGCTCCGGCCCCGCCGCGACACCGACCCGCGCCCACCCCGGGGCCTCGGCGCGGCCCCAAGCCCCCGTCACCTGCAGCGCCCGCACTCGGGCCGCCTCTCGCAGCGCTCCACCGGCAGCTCCCAAAGCCCCTCGCAGCCCTCGCCCTCCTCCTCTCCCGGGGCCGGGGCCGGGTCCCCCCCGCCGCTCCCCTCCATTGCCGGCCCGCCCGAGCCGCGCGGCCGCCGCCCGCCAGGGGGCTCCAGGCGGGCGCCAGAGGGAGGGGGGCGCGCGCCGCCCGCGCTCACGTATTGGGAGGCGGCACCGCCCCTTCCCGGGGCTCGCCCAATGGGGGCGCCCGGAGCGCCGTCCAATGGGGAGGCTCCGAGGGGAGCCGCGCCATGCCCGGAGCGGCCGGCAGGGGGCGCTGTGGGCGCGTGGAGAGCCTTCCCGGAAACCGCCGGGAATGAGGAAGGCGGACCTGAGATCCGCTGCCGCTGCTCTCACCACTGCCCTCACCTGCACGGGTATTGCTGCCGAGAGAGAGCGAGATATCAGCCAAGGGCTGGAACCCCCAGCGCCCCACCGAGCGCGGATGACGAGCTTCTGGTGCTGGTGCCCTTGGAGGTGGAGATTGAAATTCTAGTAGCGTTTTTTTATTAAAAAACCCACGAACTTGTGGTCGTTAAGTGCTTATCTGACCGTTTTAATTGGTATTTTGTTCCAAGTGGTGCAGAGTAGGGGTTTGAGAGTTCCCATGCCCGTGGATCCTTTTACCCTCCCTTGGACTCTAGGACAGTTCCTGCAATACATGCATAAATGTAAGTTTATACTGTGATAGTTAAGGTAGATCTGTTAATAAGGTGCTGATATTGGAGTCTGTTATACAGTACAATAAAATTCAACTTCAAAGTCATTGCTGTTTACATTAGAAATCTACTGAAATACAGTAACCAGTAAATCTCCACAGGACAGATTCTCTCCTGAAATTAATAACTGCAGATGATGGCCAGTTGTGTTGTTTCTTGTTTTCTGTTCTGCATCCAAAATAAACTGTATTGCATTTACGTACTTACAATCTTCAGAGCCACTTGATGCAATTCAGGCCTCCTGGTATTAGACATATGCACAATATTAATGTGTTTTTGCTTTTAGGTTGTGTATTTTCGTACCATAGTTTTGTATTTGTAGCTCAAGCTACAAATAAATGCATTTGCTTGTATAGGCATTAAAATGCATTTTACTCACCAGGTAAAAAAAAAAGTAAAAATCAGAGACCAGTGATTCTGAAGCTAGCTGTATATTTACATACTGTAAATTTTAAAATAAATAAATAAATAAGGAGGTAAGGAAAAGGAAAGTTACTTACTGCTAGAATTATAGGCCACCTAATTTAGAACAGGGAGACTAGTGTAGGAGTGGGAGAGCTGAAAGTTTCTTATTAAGCTGAAAGCCTTATCACAAGGTGAATTGTTATAACTTACAAGGAGTTTATTTAGGCTGATTATTAGAAGTAACACAGCTGTAGTGGATATGAGAAGGAGTATTGGTGCCTTAGTGCAGAGTCACTTTTCTACTTCCAGCTTACTGAGAAGAGTCCCCATGGTACTGACAGTAGCCTGGAAATGCCTTCATAGCTTTCCACAAGTGTCTTCAAAGACTGAGTTTTTATCTGGTCTGGTAAGAATAATCAGCTTCAGTGATCAGTTCAGAAGAAAGTAAACCACTGTAAACAGTTCTGATCTGACCACACAGAAGAGAAAATTGATCTGCAGATAGATGCCTAAAATACATGTAACAATAACACGGCCTGAAGTAATTTTCTTGTCAAGGGAATGGGTAAATGTAGCAGGGAATACTTGGAGGCTCAAAAGAGAGAGTGCTTTTCTCTATGTGCATACATCCGAAGTACAAAATTAATCAGCTTAACCTGAAGGAAACTGGAAGCATGAGATCAGGTTAGGATAGACTGACCATGCCTAAAAGCTGGGCTTGAGAGTAGAGGGTTCCTGTTACTTGAATATTGCTGGTTTGGACTACCAACAACAGCAGAAAGCATTAAAAACCAGCTCAACTCTAGATTTTTTTTTTTTTCTCTTTATGAACAGAACTAGTGTTTGCTATGTGTCTGGTTCCAAAGCTTAACAGACCAGCAGCTTCTCACACTACAGGCCAACAAACTATAGATCTGGCACTAAATACTCATTTTAAAAAATTGGAAGCATTATTTTTAGGCCAGAAGTCTTGTTTAAACAACTGAAGGAGTTTAAGAGGAGAAATGCCTGAATATTGAAGTTTGAGGCAAAAAGTAAAATAAATTTTATGGTAGATCTTCATAATCTTTTGCAGGCTAATAGATATGTATGTCCACACTATCTTTTTAATGCATGATTACCTTGAGTATTTGATGTGCATAGTTGAATCAAAATTAACACCTCCACCATTATATTAGAAAACTGAGGAATTCACAGCATCTCTTTGGACCAGTGTTTGCAATTTGTAAATTTACAGATCTAAATGATGGGCTATCTGGGAGCTTCTTACTTGCATTTAATACATTTGATGTACTGAACTGTTTGTTCCCTTTTTCAGATCATGAATGGTCACATGTTTAGTGACTAGCTGTAGACTCACTCTGGTATGGAAAGTCCATTAAATTTTATGGAAAGTACCATTCCTCTGTACGTCCAGCCTCTTCTGTGTCCCTAGATAAACTATTTCTCTTTTATTCTAGGGTTTAATATTTATTTTATTCTAGGATTAGAATTCTTGCTGTTACAAGTCACCAAAAAGCCACTCCTCCCCTGCCAAGAAGTTCAAACTTATTATACATTTATTTTAAGAGATGGGAAGAAGCTGCCAGGATGGCAGTTCTCAAAGAAGCATATTCAAATGGCAGTTTCTCAGCAGCTTTAGCCAGTTTAATTCCAAGTGCCATGTTTCTACTGCCTGGATTGACCCACAGTTTCAAATACTGACATAAGTAATTTGAAATCCTGAGGAATAATTTTTTTTTCTTTTTTTTTTTTTTTTACCCCAAAGCTATGCCCTCGTAGAGAATTGCAGCTTTCATTGCAGCTCACAAATGTTGAATTTGGGCTGTTTGTGGTTCCTGTCCATATCCATACTTGTCCATACATTCCAGTGATGGATCCAGAAGCCATCAGTTAAGCTGGAGGGACTGCCTGACCGGGCTTACTGCACAGTCACTGGTGTCAGCATGAGGTGTAGTCTGTGTAAGAGGACTCAAAGCTGGGAGCTTGGAAGACATAATGAGCTAAGCTGCTGTCTCAGAGCACCACAGGTGAGCCTGGAGAACTGACTAGGACTGAGAACTGTGAGTCAAGTGGAACAAGGCTGGAGACAGGTGAGCTTGGAAATGCTCATACAAAGGCTGTAATGAGGAAGAAGGATGTTTTTGTTGTGTGATTCTGCCTCATTGCCTCACAACAGAAGACAGTCAGACATCTTGCTATTTGTACAGCAGAATGGGATTAACAAAGCCCCTTCTTAGCTGTCAGTGTGTGTGAACAGAAGGCCATGTGCAGATATGAAGCCATATATTAAATAAGGTCAGTTGAGAGTAATGTTGGTAAACACCACTACAGCTGGGAATACAGCTCTGTGCAGGTGAAGTCTGGAGGTGCCTGATCACAAAACCAGGAACTGTTGAATTTTGGAGAAGAGTTTGCTTTCTGTTTCACCCAAGCATGCACTGACCTGATTTGTCATAACACTTGTCTCCCAAGACAGTCCTTTTTGAGGGAAAAAGAATGGTTTAGTGAGACACAGTAGCTGGCCAGAATAATTAACTCCAACCTTCCACCAAGGACTTGCTGGAGCTGCTGTATTTTTCCACACGCTCAGAGATGCTGTGAGTTCTAAGGGCAAAAACTGTCTGTGACTGTCTCTATTCTAGAAGGTGCTCTATTATAACTGATTTACAACAAAAAACATGGCTGTAAAACATTTAGCCATCCAGTACTGAAATCGACTGCATAGTAAGAATCATGTAATAATGATGTACATTGCATAATGTTGTCTCCTATAATCTGTTGAACCCATGGGTTTCAGACTTTACCAATTCTATTTAAAGTCTTTGGATTCGTCTGTCGCTCATGATAACTCACTGCTTTATAAATACTGATAGCAAGTGACTTGAAAAACGCAGAGTTCACTTCAGATACTTTAGTCACTACTGGGGTGTTGGAAATGTCCTTTACATGAACTAAAGAAACAGCAGCAGCAACAGAAACATCTGGTTTGTCACTTAATCTTCATCTGCATTTTTTTTCTGTTAACCTAAGAACTAAAATTTGTGCAATTGTGTCCAAAATGCAGAAGTGATTCTGCCTTTATTCTGTCTGATGAAAATTCTTCTGCAGAGCTGACTGTTGTGCTCTTCTACACATTTGCCAAAAAAGAGATACTTTCCATAACATTGTTTCCTTCTCAGAATCACAGGATTTGGGCAATAATAATGTTCGTCCGCTGAAACTCTTTTTTTTTTTCCCCACAGCCTAGAGATACCCTGTAAGAAAGCACTATTAGGAACTATTTTCATGTGAGGAAGTAGCATAAAGTAACATTCCATTCCAACCATCTCATTCTATCTCCTGTATATATACTTTTATTTTTGGCATAACTACACACATGAGTTACAGTGAAATAATAAGGGTGTGACATTTCAAGGTAACTACTACATCACAAAACTATTGGTTTGCATATTTTCACATACTGTTAATACCAGGAAGTGTTC